CTCTGCATATGTCTTGTTTTCTTCCATCCAAGCGGTAAACATTGATTCTTTCACACTCGGTTTTTCAAGGACTTCATCTATCAGTTCATAATCAGTATAGTAAATCGGATTGTCGCCCTGAAGATGAAAATACAACTTTTCAACCGCAGGAGATCTCCCAAGAATAGGAAATGAAAAGATCCTCCAACATGCTTCACTTGGTGAGACATATCTACAATCAAGATATTGCTTAATTTCGGCGACATTTCTAATATGTGAAGATCCGTCTGTCTCATTATCGACAAAAGTCGCGGTAATTCTATCACACCCCTTGTTAATATACTTGAATAAGTACTTAACTGAAGTACCCTGATTACACCACTTCATATTTATGTGTCCCTGAAAGATTGCAGTAGAAAGATTTCAGTACTTAGACACTCTAAGTTTTTTCTAATGCTTGCGGATATAATTCAATCTTTGGGACTCCATTATAGTAAATCCATCGACCAAAAATTACTGAAACAACCGCCTTGACCTAAAAAGAGTATGTGCTTCATTATGACGACTTTGAATCCTAAAAGCTAGCCATTCTCTGATGGTAAGCTTATTTTGCTTACCTTTTTTAATTGCACTTATATCTTTGTGTAGAGCACCAAGTCTAAAACCATCTTACCCAAATGGAAACAGAAGCGGATATTGTAACGCAAGATAACTTGGATGAAACTCACTTATTCTTTTCAGCTTTCCGATCTATTTTTCAATAATTATATCCCTTTTAGAACCTGTATCAACATCACCAATGATAAGTGCAGCTACCTCTGAAACAGTCGGTTGGTTGTACGTTCTTCCATCCTTTGATCTGTCAGCTATTAACTTCAGCTTTAGATCAGGCACGGGAGTATCCTTTAATCTATCTGCATCCATTCTAAATGATTTAGTGTGTGTGTTGAACTTATCCAGCATAGCTTTCAATTTGTTGACAGTTTCTGTAACAATATTTGGATTGTTACTGCAAAATAGAAATAATAGTTAGCATTCATAAAAAAAGCAACTCCAAAAAGTTAATTTCAGCAAGCCTGGTAAGAACAGAAGCAATACCCTATTCCTTCAATTCTATGTTAAATCTCATTGTCAGTGTCGTAAATATACAGTTGCACAAACTTAGGTGATTGTCCAGGCAAAGGTATCATGCTCCCAATTCTATGGAAAGACTGTCCATGTATTCTTATGTTAGGTGGTCCTCTACCATTTTGGAATCTATTGTCAAACTTCATACCAGGAGAAGTAAATGCAAACATAATATTGTATAATCTGCAATGCTGCTGGTAATTTCGACAGTCTACATCATTGTTATCAAACAAAAGATGTTTAAGTAATGGTGGTGGTGGTTTCAAAAGTGGTAACACAACTTTCCCATTTACACAACATAACTGGAACTTGGGAACTGCGTTATGTTTTTGTTTGTCTGTCTTTTCTTGATACCACATTAGGGCTCCACAATGCGTGCATTCAATTGCAGGATCACCAATGTCTGAATAACCTAAATAAATCAAAGATAAAGTAACATATCATGTAAAAAAGAAGTAAGTTTAAGTATCTTTCATTGGTCTCTTTGAAATATAAGAACTGTTTAACTACACATAAAATATTAGAATTTTGACACGTATGAGATTTGGGACAATAAAACGGGGTAGAAGTGTTGTCATAGTATTGATTGTCACCTGAACATGAAGATGTGTCATCGTCACCCTTTTTATTTATAAATTCGCATGAACTATCGCTGAAATATTCATCTGTTAAATATTCTTCATGTGACACATCACTTTCAATGTTAGAACTTATAATAGAAATGTTAGGATTTATAGTAGATGGTAAATGATTTCTGGATGAAGAGGCAACTCCATGATCAATGTTTGAAAAAGCATGGAAAAGATTGGCGGAAACAGACCGAATAGCACCAATATTCAACTGTATTTTAGAGGAATATATGTATCCACTTGACTGAGCATGTATATTATTGTACCTTTGATTATACGATGAGCATTTTATTACACACAGAGACGTATCTGAATTTTCAGTGAGTGCAGAATGGTTCAACACATCACCACCATTATTGTTGACAATTTTGTCGTCATGTATACTTGACACATTAGCCTTCTATATAATAATTCTCATCCTTCTCTGCCTTGCAGACGCGGACGAATGTGGTGGGGACAAATGATTAAAAGTAATGTTAGATTTGGAGCTGCCTAATGAAGATGTTGGTGTCTTTAGATAAGATAATGACGAAGATGAAAAATATCGATTCTCACGACCAAACAGCTTATGGAGATTTGATGAAACAACATGATTCACACCCACGTTGAATCTCTGTGCATTATCAATTACAGTTGCAATTGGCATTGAATTGAAATTCGGCTTCGTCGAATTTAAAATTGAATTGCTAATATTAGATAGAGGTATTCTGAAATGATTTTTGGCAGGACTTCTGATGTCATGAACTCGGTTCCTCTTAGTTCTTCTATCTTTGATAATTTTCTTCCTTTTGCTTCTTTCCAAGGTTGCTAATTTTTTACTGTCCAGAATATGTGAATCCATCTTAGTTGAATAACACAAACTAACAACTAAATTAGCATGTAAAAGTAGGCAATGAAACAGTCAATAACTAATACAGTTTGCAAGCTCATCATGTACATGTTATTTTTACTCATATGAACAAAAAAGAGGCAATATGTTTGTTATGTGTTCTATGTAAATGTAACATATTCTCTCTCATGATGTTCATTATTAAATTAAAGGTTATGTAAAGATAAGCCATAGTATTTAAAAAAAAGTAGAAGGGCTTTGGAAAATGTAGAGACCTTTACGTGTCTACCCCATTTTACATATATGATGGATGTTGGAAACTGAACTTAATTTATTATTCAATGAGTTAAAAGGTAATACATGCATGTGTTATACATTGAGATACTACTTACATTGTAAAAAGGTAGTATTAACCAAAGTGTAATAATGCACATGTTGGAAGCTTAAGTGAAAAGGGAATACAGCTGCAGTAAAAAAAAATTGTGGGCTGCAATGCATGACACGGTATACCAAGAAATATAATAGGGATGGTCCAAAGATTTTCTGCATTAGTAGGTATTGTGACATCAAATCAAATAAAGACCTTTAACCATTATTAGAAGTAACATATGCATGTCTTTAATTCTATTTAAAGGAGAACTTGTGTATGATATGCTTGCATTAGTATTGAAATTGTTCCCTCTCCATATCAGAAGGTTTTCTAAGAGAAACGGGTTGCATGTCTTCTCCAAGCTTGAGTGGGTAAGTCTCAATTTCTGAAATTATGTAACCATTTTTGTTGTGTTATTAATATGGTTTCATGCATTTGTTTGAAGTATTATAGTCATTCATGCATTTGTTTGAAGTATTATAGTCATTCATGCATTTGGTTTCATGCATTCCTACCAATGTGTTATTTCATGAAACCAATGATGCAAGGAAGTAAGTGAAAAAGGAGAGCCTCGTTGGAGAACCTTCAAATCCGAATGCAGGTGTGGGAGAGTTGAAGGAAGAGATGACATGGTTAAAAGAGATAAGCAAAGCTGGAAATAAGGGGAATCAAGTTTTTGTAATTAAGATCCTTAACTATATGACTCAGTGGATTACATTATATATAATTTACATTTTTGGATATTGACTGTATGTGTTCTGACATGCAGCATTTCCCAGCTAACATGATAGAAAATTGCCTTCGTCTCGACATTAGCTCGTGCCTTGTTAGGGATTTCCACACCAGCGAGAATCATCCATGCAAGATAATGAAATCTAACAGGAAAGATGTGGAAATGTACTTGGGAAAAGGGTGGTATTCATATGCTAAGGGGAAAAACTAAAGGTGGGAGATACGCTTGCATGCACCTACAATTCAGATAAGGAAATCCTGTTTGTGAGGTTGTACCGAAAAAGTGAAATTTAGATGAAAGAGTGAAGTGGATATTATGTATGTTTTGGCTGGAAAAAAGCAGGAGTTTTGTACCAAGTTGGGAACAATGTTATTTTCTATGTTTAGTTATGGGAATTATATAATGTTTATGTTTAACTTTTTTATTTCGTGTTGTTAACACTTTGCTATTAGGGATGCACCATTTCTGTAATGTGTTGCTTTAATTAGCTCTTAGTATCTAAGTGGATAATTCTACTAAGTATCATAGTGCATCAGTGCTTTTGCAAAATGTATTTCACAAGTTTGGTGTTCTTTTAGTTAATATTATAAACGAAATATGTTTCCAACAATTGCTTAATTCATATAGTCTATTCATCTTCTTACCATATAGCACATAAGACATCTAAACATGTAACAATTACATTAACGGAATACTGTGGAAGATATAGAAACATATTATATTTGGAGGCAAATGATTGTACGTACCTGCTTCTTCATCGAATTGCATGAAGTCAAATAAATGACTATTCATTTTGAAGGTTTTGTAGTGAGGTGTAAGATTTAAAGGGCATTTAGGCATGTAATGAAGGAAAAAATGAAAGTTTTATTGATCCTGACATATTAAGATATTACTGAAACCACATAGACATAATGTATATGAAAAATAGAATTATTTATGAAGTTTAAACAATGTAGAAACTAAATGTTTGCGGACATCATTAAAAACATGATACAACTTCAATGAATTCACATATATATTGAAGTTGATGAAACAACATCAGTAAATGAGTATATTTAAAACAAGTTTTGCATTGGTTCGGAAAAACATACAAATAAAATTATGTGACAGTAATAGACTCATATATACTTGGTGCACATCGCGGTATAACGTTCAAACCAATTAACCAAAAATATATGATGGAGTTCGACAATCCTCATTCAAGGATATTAAAGAGATCAAACTGAAAACTTTTGAAACAAATCCAAAGTATTCAAGGCAAAAAACTACAAACAATTGGATTGGTTTCTTCAAAAATAACAATAACTTAAAATAACATAAATGTGAATATAGCTACTTCTCCTTCTTTATATCCTTAATTAACTTGGCTGCGGAAATTTGGACACTCTCAATATCTTCAACAACATCAGGTAAAGTTCTTTTTGATGGAGTCAGAGTTTAATTTCCAACAGCAGGGTCATAATCGGCACCAGCAGATAAAGGTTCCTGCTGGCAATGTGGATATAATATATCAGCATTAGACAATGTATGTAGATATCTGTTTTATATAGAGGGATCATGTTTGAATTAATAACTTACAGTAAAGGATATTGATTCATCTTGGGATGAAGGCTCAGTTGGTATAAGCTTTGAAGTGGGCTGCCAAATACAAAATCATATCATTCCAAATAAATAAGTAGTGATCAACAATGATATTTTTGTGTTTACACTGAGATTACCTCTTCCGAGCTGAAACTCCCTCTGACTCTCTTACGGAAATCTTCCTCAATTTTGAAACTAATGACGGAAATTTTGCCTTTGTTAGGCTGAAAAACTGCCCTAATAGCCAATTCCTGCTTTAGAATTGCATCAAGTGCATAAGGGAATTCAAGAGGATCATCTTCATCGGCCTACATAAACATAATGAAATCTATTACACAGTTTTTTAAAAAGAATCAAACTTAATAAGGTGTCATTGTATACCTCTATCAATTCATTTTTCATTTGAAGAGCGGACTTCCCAATCAACTTGACGCAATCTCCGTCCCAAAAAATGAATCTGGCCTTGTATTTACCGTCAACAGCCAAGACTTCGAGTTTATATCTATAAGATAATCATAAACCATGATTGCAATGCCACCAAAAATTTAACAACATGAATTGTAAATATAGATACAGACAATACCTTGGTACGGGCGTTGGGATAATATGTTTGGAATAACATACGAGCTTTCCATCCTGAAGTGACCCACTTTTTGTGCAACCAACACATCCATCATAATATCATCCTGACTGTCCAGCCTCAAATTTGTCCAAAGTCGCAACAGTAACACATGTAGTCTCCTGATAAAACGATGAAACCCATAGTTAGTTTGATATGATGTATAATCACAATTTCACTATACAATGAAACATGTATTACGTGTTGCAGAGTTTTTATTTCAGCAAGACTTAAAATTTATGCCTTCCAAACAAACTTATGGAAATCATAATAGCATGAGTTTTATGTTGTGTCCACTTGAAGACTTGATGAAGACAGTAATGGAAATTCAGACTGTAGACTGCATGAAATATATGACAAATGTTCATAACCAGTATAACAAAAATATATTATACAACACGATAAATAAAATGATATCACTCAGCACCTGTCTCTGAGCTTGATAACTACAGCAAGGGTAACATCATTAATTAGCAACTTTGTGCCATTCCAAGCGTTAGAAATGTTCAAAGGAAACCCTCCTGCAAGTTTCAGTCATTCTTTAGAACATACAACTGTATTGAAGCAGCAATTAAATTTCATGTTACATCAATCTGGATTCACATTTGGAGAAAAAACTCAAAATTCGTATGTGTCAAACCTTGAGCCTCCTTAATCCTGGCATTAATAAGCAAAACAATTATACTTCCATCTTCCTTATGACTTTTATAATAATCGTGAAATTGAATGGCAAGCTGACCCCAAAGAGTACATTGAACTTTAGATATGTTGCTTTGTCAAACATATTAACATTATTAATATGATGATGTTGGTTAAATTAATGTAATAAAATTATACAAAAAATAACATGAAGCATACCTATCATCAGTAATTGAAAACACAACCTTGCTCTTTTTGTTATCAACATTGATTTGAGTTTGAGAAATCTCGGTCACTCCTCCAAGAATATCTACAATAATTCATGTATTATATACTATATAGATTTATAGACGTTGGAAAACAAATATGCTATGAATTAAACTAAACTCCACTAATAACATACCAACCAAAATATTAGACTGGAATTCACCTTCAACAATGGCATCCAAATGAAGAATGTTCAGGTAATTCATAGGAATATCAGGAAGTTCAGCCTTCTTAATAGAAGTTGAGCCACATAACACCAACTTGAAACTATGATTAGTCGACTTAAAAGAGAAATCATTGTTTGACACTTTGAAATTCTGCATTACATATGAACATCCAAGCGCGAGTTGCTCCTTGAATTTTGAAACCAAGAAGGGTGGCACAATGACTTGAATCGTATCTAACTACAATAAACAAACATACAAAGTTAGTTTTACCAACACCAATATTGAAAATACAAATTCATAACGGCCAGACTGATAAAATACCTCAGAATCAACCAAAATCATCTCGATGTGTTCCTTTTTCGATGCACTCGTCACGGTCCACAAATGCTTGCACCTAACAACAATCTTCCATAAATCCTTTGACTCATTAATATCCTTCACAACTTTAATTGGGTGAGCCATATAGTTGATGTCTCCTGTAACAACAACACGACAAAATTGGATGGATGAAAAGTTGAAACAATAGAAAAAATTGTAACAATAACATGAAATCATTTGCCCTCATCAGGATAAAAGAACCGTATCTTAAACCCTAAACAAAAATCCCCAATCTTCGAATGAGTCGCATCCAAATACTCTTTAACCATGTTCTATAGTTTACAGATCAATCAACACGAATTTAACCTAATCCTTCAAATTGGGGTTGAAAGAGTCATCTTAAGATAACAAAAGCCAGGGATTTGGGGTTGAATGTGCATGTATTTGTGACAAACAAAATCAAGTATAAAGAACAATTGGATATTCACTACTTGAAGATTGAGAACAATTGGATATTCACTACCTGGAGATTGGGGAAAGGATATACTGCAGTATTGAAGAAATACATTGCATATTTATGGCTGAGTCACTTGAAAATGAAAGCTGTAAGGGTGGAGTTATCCATTGTTCGGAGTTGTGGTTTTGGAAGATGCAAACTTTACTCTATCATTGAAAACAGAAGAAGTGTTGTGCGATGACTCGTCTCCTGCAATTTTTGTTATTAAAAAATTATTAACATTATTAGTTATAATTAGTTAAGTTATAATTAATAATAATAGATAATTATAATATTATAATATTATAATAATATAAAATATATAATAATAATAATAATAATAATAATAATAAAAATTAAAAACAATGGGAAAATCTATTGGACTTACACATCAGCGACATTAAATGTCAAAATAATATGGTGATAGGAGTACATCAAAAGACTAATGTGCCCTTAAAAATTAAATAAATAATTAATTATAATCAGAAGAAATTTAATGAATTTTCAGATACTTTAAAGTTTATATATTAATAATAGATATAAGAGAAATCATACTCAATAAATTGAATTAATTTTTACATAAGTGGTCAAAAAAATTTCCGTTCTAAATCAAAAACAAATTTGAAAAACAAAATAAAATTGAAATATTGGTATTGAATTATTATATACTAATACAAATAATTTCATATAAAAAATATTTTATATATAATTAAAAACTATTTCTTATTTTTTTTTGTATTTTAAGAAGTAAATAAAAAAAATAGTGTATTATATATGAATTTTCATTAAGTATATGATATTCTTTAAAATAACTCTATAAAAAATAATAGTTAATTGATTGAATTGATATAAAAAGATTTTCCATTCTAGATCAAAGTAAATTGTAAAAAATAAAATAAAATTGAATTTGATAAATAAATAAATTAATTAACATTTTAAATTTATACCATAATTTCATCTTTATTTTTATCCTTGTTCTTATTGCAATTCTCTTAAAGAAACAATTTAATTTTTTTTAATTCATTTATAAAAGGATAAATAAAAGATCAATTATATATAGTCTTATCTTTTTGTATGTTTGCGTCACTGCTACACAACTTTCATATTTTAGCCTTTAACTTTATAAATTATCGACACGTTTTAAATGTAATTTTTTCTTTTAAAAAATATATAAATTCATTTATATTATTTTAGGATGATAAAAAAACACATTGATAAATTTGTTTATATTATTTTAGGATGGTAAAATGTGTAAAAAATTAATTAAATACTTGAAATTTATGTTTGATGGTCAATAAATTTAATAAAATTATTTTGATACAAAAAATATATTATCTTGCCGACATAACTTAAAACATATTTGTGTTTTTATTAGAGTGAATTGATTAAGTTACTCTTCTTTCTCATAAATATTTAATTTTTAATAAAATAAAATAAAATAAATTTTATGTAATACAAATGAATATAAACTGAAAATACAAATAGATTAACATTGTATTAAATAAATTATCCATGCAATGCAAATGAATGCTATAAATTAAAATAGTTTCTTTTATGTAATATTACACTTTATTGGCTTAAAATTCTGTATTTAAAAATTAAAGTAAGTAAAACATAAATTAAATAATTCAAAAACCTAATTATCAACTTATGCTTTGATTATAGTAAATTTAGATAGATTAATGAAATGAAATAATATTAGAGATAATTAATTATAATTCTTACAATAAGGAGTTAAATATTTTTTTTATATAATTTGTATTAAAAATTAAATATATATTTTTTATTTATTAGTTTGAAATTAAAATAAATCATGTTAAATTCTTATTATAAGGAGTTACATAATTTTTCTTATATTATGTGATAATATTAGATATAATTTTTCATCAAGTTTACGATACTGTTTTAAATAAATTTATAAAAAAAATTCATACTTAATTGATTGAATCAATTTTTGTATGACTAAAACTATCTTATCAAATTTGTGTATTCACCTATCTTTATTTTCATGACTTTTTATCTAAAACAAATATTTATAATATTCTTTTAGAACTGATAAGATTTTATCAAAAATTATTACTAAAATTTTTTTGATGAATTAAAATATTTATATAATTTATTATTGCTACTAAATTAAAATAATATAGGCATTGGTGGTGAAAATTAAATGATAATTTTCTTATTATCGTTCAATCAAGATTTTCTTTAATATGTTTTTTTTTTTAAATTAATGATGAGGATTTACACTTTATTTTTGATAGAATTTTTACGTGAGAAAATGTAAATCTCAATTTTAAACTCTTCCGTAAAATTGAAGTATAATGAAATTCTATGCTTGCATTTTTCAATTAAATATAATAAAATTTCAGTGAAATTTTTTTACGTGAGAAAAATGCAATCTTAATTTTAAACTGTCTTAAATCCTAGAAATCTTATCCATCCATTTTTACGTGAGAAAAATATTAATCTCAATTTTAAACTGAAATCTTATCCTTCTATTTTTACGTGAGAAAATTATAATCTCAATTTTAAATTTTTATACCCCTAAATGTACTTTTAATTTTTTTTAATAATTTATAACTATTAAATACTTATAATTCAAAAAGTTTCTTTATGTCTCATTATTTTCGTACACTTAACTTTTTTTTCCTGCTCTTATCATTTAAATTCATTAAATGTTCAGATTTTTCAACTTAATATAAATGGCTGGTATAATGATCTATTTAACTTATTCTACTTTGAAAATTATCTTCATAAAATTATATACAAAGTACTAATTGTTAAATTGTAATTCAGTGTATCGAAAATATGTGTCGAAAAGATTAGATTTGTTTTAGATTTAAATACATTTTATTTAAGTCTAGAATAAATTTGATTTGATTTAGTAACAAAATAGATATTTTGGGTTTTGGACTTAGGGTGTAAGCTCACTTATAAATAGAGGGAGTAACCCCTATTTTTTGTAAGCAAGTCAAACAAGTCAATTAAGTTGTATTCACAGAATTTGCAGTTGCAAGTAAATAACAAAGTTTTCCACAATTTGTAGGCAGGGAGAAACTCTGCAGAAAATAATTGTCTTCTTTCTTTTCTTTTCGTTCTCATAATTCATTGTCATTGAGGAGAAATTCATCATAAATATTTGGTGGATTTCCAACATTTGGTATCAAGAGCTCGGTTAATCGATTCAAGGGAAGTATCGATCAAGAACGATTGAAGAATTCACGATGACAAGTTATGGGAATGCAAACTATCCAACAACCCTACCAATTCTGAAACTTGACAACTATGAGAATTAGTGCAAACAGATGAAAGTCTTATTCAGGTGTCAAGGTCTTTGGGACCTTGTAAAAGATGGAGTCGAAGCGCTTGGAGAAAATGCTTCAGAAGAAGAAAAGAAGAAATACACAGAATCTGAGAAGTTGAGTTATAAAGCATTATTTATAATTCATCAATGTGTCAGCCCAGACAATTTCGAAAAGGTTAGTGATTCAGAATCTGCAAAAGAAGCTTGGGAGATCCTTGAGAAGTCTTTTGGAGGCACTGAGAAGGTGAAAGAAGTGAGGTTACAAACTCACAAAAGGACATATGAACTGCTTTCGATGGAAGACAGTGAAAGCATATCTGATTTCTTCACTAGAGTTACAAAACTAGTAAATCAAATCAAGATATATGGAGAAGCGTTAACAACAAAAGCTCTTGTTTCGAAGATCTTGAGATCTTTAGCTCCTAAATTCGACCACATAGTGGTGGCGATAGAAGAGGGGAAAGACTTATCGAAATTGACAAAGGAAGAGCTTCAAGGGACGCTTGAATATCATGAACAAAGAATGAACGAAAGAGTTGCAGGCAAATCAAAGAGTGATGTGGCCCTGCAAGCACACTCAACAAAAGAGACCAAAGGCAAAGGAAAGTGTTTCGACAGAGGTAGAGGTGGCTACAACAAATCGAATGGTAGAGGAAACCAGATCGAAGGAAACGTGTCGAATCAAAGAAGGCCATATAAAGGCAACCAGAGAGGTGGTGTTGCAAATAGAGGAAGAGGTGGTGGACGAAAACCTGATAAGATTCACATTCAATGTTACAATTGTCAGAAGTATGGTCACTATTTGAGTGATTGTCCAGAAAAATGAAAGAATCAAGAAAGTGATGCAAAGCTTACAAAACATGAAGAAGAAGAGATGATGTTGATGGTTACAACAAGAGATGAAGATAGATTCAAGGACCAATGGTATTTGGACTCATGATGCTCATCACATATGTCTGGAAGGAAAGACTGGTTTGTCAATATAAATCCTTCAATGAAAAATATGGTAAAATTTGCAAATGACAATACCCTAGCAGCTGAAGGTATTGGTGATGTTATGATTATGAGGAAAGATGGCAAGAGGTCAGTAATTTCCAATGTGTTGTACATATCAGGCATGAAGAGCAATTTTCCAAGTATAGGGCAGTTGGTCGAAAACAATGATAAAGTGTCAATCGAGGATAAGATGATGAGAGTCGTTGATGCAAATAGGAGATTAATCTTGAAGGCTCCTATGTCTCAGAATCGAACCTTCAAGATTGGACTAAATGTGATAGAGCACAAGTGCATTTCGACTGCAGTTAGCAGATATGAATGGATATGGCATTATAGACTAGGCCATCT